AAATCAGGAATGTCTTTCCGTATATGAGGAACGCTGTCATTGCTTATAGCTATAAACATTAAGATTTTATGGAAGTAATGAAAAGCTAAAGAATGCATAAATATTTTTTGTCTTGTATGAATTGAACTTGACAAAGCAAGCATAATATTATGGCCAATGTAGGTTTCCAACTGGTGTGACACAGGGCAACACAACACACTATCTGTTGCTATCTGACCTCTGACACCTTTCTATTAGAACCAGAGTAAAGTTCTTCAAAAGTTTGACCCATAGAACTAGTGTTGCACCGATACTGATACCTGGCTTTGCAGTATAGGCCGATACCGATACCAGTATCGGGCAGGGCCCCGATCCAGCACTAAAATGGTTGCATCGGTGAATACCAACAAATAGGGCACTGATACCATTTTGAGAGCCAAAAGTTTATTCAATTATTGTCACCCATTCCAGGTCTGCAATAAAAAGTTCTACTGGATTAACTTTGGATTAGTCTTTGTCCTGCTTCAAAAAGGTAGGCAACAGCTTGACAAAGCCATGATGGCAATTATTTTACATCCCAGTAGTATGCAGTTCTTCATATATACACACACACATCAATTTCAAACAGATGGTATCGGTATCGGCCAGTAATGCACAGCCAGGTTTCGGGTATCGGGGCCAGAAAATGGCATTAGGGCAACACTAATAGAAACCCATCTGTTGAATCAGACTAGCCTTCCCTCTCGATTGGCATTAATGAGTCATAATTCGTACATTAAATCATCACTGTTCCTTCTCTGGACCAATCCTAATTGATACTATCCACTGCATTTAAAGCATTTTAAATTCCCTTATTACTAAAATGTGCTATACCCTGACTTTCAGACAACTCAAATCATCTCTTTCCCATTTTAGAAAATATTAACTCATTGCCCAAACTGTCCTACCTATTAACAGGTGCCATGATAAAGAAGCTAATTATTGGCAATTAACTGTCCGGTCAGTGTTCATAACATTCACTCTGATCAGTTTAATTTAGTGGGCATGCAGTAATAGGAAACTTAAAACACATTCATATGTCTGGAGGAAGCACTGATCAGCATTTTGCACTCTCTAATGATTAATCCCTGTCTAGGTCATTCTTCCCTAGTTAATTATATAAACTAAAGAAAACTAAAAGCAAACTACAAATACCGTAATAATAACCTTTGGTTTTTCGGCCTTGTCAGAGACTTTGCGTAGATTCCTGTTCATAAAACAAATAGTTCTGGCATAGGCAAGGTATACATTTGTTTATAACAGTTGTCACTATCCGATCCGTCCTGCGCATGGGGCAACAGATATATATCCGGGTGTGC